GGTCAGGGGGTGATGTGCGAGGTGTCTGGCGGCGGCTGCATGACTATCTAATTTGCAAACAATTCAAAGATTCATATACTCCTTTATACGTGCGCGATGCTATAGATGTGATGAATGGTTTTTGGTGGTGAGATCGAGATCGTTGGCAAGTTGGCCGACGACTCGATGGATGTCCGTATGGAAGCACAGACCGCGGGACGCACATGGCGGGCTGCGCCAGCAGGGGACCTCGGGTCTGCGAAAGCGCCTGGATCCCGACGAGGCCTGCCTGTCAGGCACCGACCGACCGACCGACTCGGTGATGCGATGCGATGCGATGCGATGCGCGGTGGCTCTCTTGTTGGACGCGGTGCTGCGCCGGGGGCGCATCGCGGTCTGTTGGGCATGGGGCAGAGCAGAGCAGGGCGGACCAAGCCAACGAGCCCGGACATGTCCGGATGTACTGTACGTCGTCGTGCACAGTACAGTACCGTACAGTCGTACTTACAGGAGAGGAGAGCGTGATCACGAAACATGTCCGCTGTACGAGTAAGGTAGCACCTCGTATTTACCGGCATGATACGTACAGTACTGCGCTGCGGGGGGCCTTTCCATCGTGACGAGAGAGCGTAGTACTGTGTGCCCCCTCTTGCATGAGGTTGGTCGCGAGGCACGCGGACGTGGAAGCGCTGCGACTTACTCGTAGGTGCTTACGCTTGGGACGTGCTGTACTCGTACTGCAGTAGAGACAACCTGCGGCAGGCGCAAATGATCAGGACGGCTGGCGGGCGCGACGCATTCCACGGGGGCGCAAGCACGGATGCTCAAGGCTTGCGAACTTGACTCTCCCCGCGGTGATGCCCTGTCCTGGTACGCGGGCGAGAGCGGCTACGTACGTTCCGTCCGTACCATATCTCGCCGGGAGAAGAAGGCGCCGGCAGATACTGTGACGCGCGCGGAGACGGGAACAAAGGCCCGGCCGCCCGCCCCCAGATGATAGTGCGGCGCGCATTCTTGCGATTCCCTGGTTTTATCCTCCCCCTTCCAGTAGTACTATACTAATCGGCCATTGTGGTCTTTTTCCTTGCTTCTTCTTTTCAAAATGCCATTCTCTTATTACCGATGGCATGGCCGGAGGGGAGGGAGGTGTGTGGTGGGCAAAAGCGACAGGGATTCGTTTTCTTTCCGATGGGAAGGGGAGGAGAGGGTGCAAGGCAGCTGGCTAGCTGATGACCTCGCGTGGAGTTGGGACTGGGGTGGAGGAGGATGGCGCCGACCACGCGGCGAATTTTTTTTTGCTTTCTGGGACCCGGCTGAACAGCAAAGGTAAAGACTGGAGACCCGGGCCGTATGATGTCACGAGCAAGGGGGGGTCTTTCTTTGAGGAATGGGCGGCGAAGAGGAGCCGCCTGATACCTTGACCACGGGCACCGGCGGCACAGAAGCAGAGCTCATCAGAGAGAGAGTGAGAGAGGGGCCCTGAGGTGCTTCTTTCATTCCTCGCCGGGCGGTCCCGGACTCGCACCACGTACCTTCTCGGTACGTGCTGAACCGTGTGGCCTCGTACCGCAGAGGCTGTACGTCGGTCGCTGGAATGGAACGCCAGGCCCGTGTGTCGCGCGAGTGCGAGTCGCGATCCATGGGCGTTGCAACGGCACTGACCTCTCTTTCCTTCTCTGCGACTGGGACGGAGGGGGAAGGGGGCATTGCGCGTGCAGGCGTGCGTGCGTGCGACCGCGTTGCAAAACACATGTCATGACCTGTCTCTTATACACATCTAGATGTGTATAAGAGACAGATCCATGGGCGTTGCAACGGCACTGACCTCTCTTTCCTTCTCTGCGACTGGGACGGAGGGGGAAGGGGGCATTGCGCGTGCAGGCGTGCGTGCGTGCGACCGCGTTGCAAAACACATGTCATGACCGTGTATCGTGCGTACCGTGCCGTGCAGTGTCGACGTCGCGCATCTCACTCGATCACTTATCAGTCATCCCTCACTTTCTTCGCTGCAGAAACGAACGAACCCACGGGTTGGTAGTGGTGGTGGTGGCGGCAGACAGAGTTTGGCGGCTCGGCTCCCACGCGCCGCCGCTTCTTCTTCGCTCGTTGGCAAAAGTCAAAACCCCGAGCGAGACGGACAGAGTGAGAAAAAATGATCTGGCGTCATCGAGCTAGGATCGGCGGCGCGCCCAAGCTGAGGGCAGGATCACGGAGGCAGCGCCAAAAGCCTTTCCTTGGCGGCGCCCCGCGAGCGCCGCCGAATTGGGGGGTGGGCGACGCCTGATAAATCCGACGACGTGATTGGCCTGTTGACGCGTCGGCTTTGTTTACATTCTGACGCGTCAAGTCGCGTCTCGCGCTTCCCCTCCTCTCCCTCTCCATCTCACCTTCACGCTCACCTCGCCTCACCCCCCCTGGTTTAGGCTGCAACCTCAACACCCCTTCCCTATCTCTCGCGCTCTTCTGCTGCTCACCACTCCAACGCTGCTCGCCAATTCGTCGTTTCGCAAAAACCTCACCCACCTTTTCCTTCCCTCTTCCCAGTTCCCAGCGTGACTTTGTTGCACGCCCCCCCCCCCTCTCTTGCCCACTTTTTCGTCGACCTTCGTGCTTGTTCCCAAGTTGGTCGTCGTCAGCCAGTCAATCGATCGCCCGCTCCGGGTCCCCGGCCGTCACATGCTCTTGTGCTCTTGCGCCCAGACGCACTTTGTAGGAGAAACGATTACTAGTGCCGCCTCGCTTCGGCAGTGCCGCGTCCGTCGTTTCTTGGGATTCCCGGGACAAAGAAAACCGGCTAGACAGGCAGGGAAGGAGGGGGGGGGGGATTGCTGCGATTGTGTGCTGCTTGCTGGTGGTCGTGGTGGCATTGACCCCTCGGCGGTCCCGATCACCATCGCCGCGAGATCTCAGGGACAGGCGCTCGTCAAGACAGTGTCTGAGATCGCGACGAGACAGGAGGGTGGCCGCGCCGAAGAAAGGCGAAGAGGAAGCACAGGAAAAGGGCGGAGGAGATACCGACGCCACGGCCACAGCCTCCGCTTGGCACAAGAACGAGCCGGCGTAGTTCGAGACTGTCGACAGAGTGCGTGCTGCTGGTTGATGATTGTGGCTGCTGCCGCTGCTGCATCTGCATTGCTCCTCCACCACCACCACCACCAGACGCCGCGGGCAAGCATACCATCACCTGCCGGTCCTGCGACTCCGTCCATCCGGCCGCTGCATCCATCTGCACGTACACGTGTCGGCGGCAGAGAGAACCGACGGACGGGCTGCAGCGGAACAGACAAAGGAAAAGCAAGGCGCACGGAGACGACGCTCCATCCTCTCCCAGTGTCGGCACGCCGCGTAGGCCCACCGGCGTTCTGCAGCAGCAAGCATACCGAGCAATCGTACGTGCTCGAACGGCTGCGTTGCTTCTGCGGCAGCAGCCAGCCAGCCAGGCAGCGATACGCCAAGAGGACGGGCGAACTCTCTGACTCCCCTGCCCGGTATCGAGATCTAGCCGGTACCGATTCGTAGTTGGACGTTAGAGAAGTCGACGCGTCCGCGTCCGTGCCAGAGTCACGAGCGCGTGTCTCTCTCTCTCTCTCTGTCCCCCCAAAGGCCGGCCGCCGAAAGCGCGCCATCCGTCTCGCGCATTCCGAAACCCCCGGTCCCCCTCCTCTCGACACGCGCGCGCGCGCCTCTCGCAGAAATCTCGAGAGGATCGATCAGATCAGACAAAGAGCAGGCCAGAGTAGAGCGAGACGTTCAGAGCCGCGGTGGAGACCCTAGCATCCCCCCCCCTCCCAGTGGATTCGACGCATCGTCCGGACTGCATGCACTCCAGAGCAATCAAGCCCATCGCGCCCATCAAGCCCCCCATCCCCAATTGCTTGAGCCACGACCCGATTTCCTCGTACTACCGCTGCGCCGACCGACTGTCAAGACCCATCATCCCTACCTAAGGTGCTGCAAGCGACACCCTACGATGCGCACGCCCCCTTCTCTCACTGCTTCCCACAAGGTGCCCCCCAACAGGCCGGCCCCCCGGCAGCTGCGGCGGCGGCGGCGGCGGCGGCCCTGCAGGGCTGCTCCTCGCTGAAGTGGCCGTGTCAGCCCAAGCGCCCGCCCACCCAATCCTCTGGCACACGCACGCCCCCCCTCTGGCAGGCCGGCCACAGCGGCCCACACCTCGCCCTCCACCCTCCACCCTCCACTGGACTGCCCTGCCCGTCCGGCGCTTGGCCTGCTGGCTGAGCTCGCTCGGGTGGCTCTGGCTGGCGCTGGCTGGCACTGCAACTGCGCCGTGCTCCACCCGCCCGCCCAGTCGCTCCGCTCCGTCCAAGGCCTGGCTGGGCTGGATCATTCCCTCCCCATCGTCCTGCTCTCTCCCTTCGTTCACGCCCGCCCGCTACTAAGCCCATCGCATCGCTCTTCTCCCCCCTCCCTCCCACTTTACTCCTGCATCTCTAAACGTCCCTCCTCCTCTGCCGACCGCGTCTGCCCCGACTTGCATCCCGCTTCGTCAACCCATCACGGCTTCTGCACGACGCTTCACAACGCTCGACTGCCTCCCGCACCGACGACAAACCGACGACGCGTCCGCTTCACGTCCACCGCCATTTCGCATCGCACACACACGGCTCGCTCAGACTTGCCGCCCTTCGCTGCCCGACCAAGTGCGCGTAAAGAGCGTCATCTACGTCGCCCTGCATTCACTGCCCCACTGTCAATTAAAGACAGCGCAGACCTCGTCCAGGTAAGCTATTAGACCTTGTCTCCCCGTCTTCTCCCTTGGGACCGTCATGCACGCCGCCGCTATATCAAGCTGTCCCTCGGCTGCCCGCCGGATGCTTCCTCCATCCTGCACCGCCGGCTTGTCGCGTCGCATTCTTGTTCCCGCACCGCGCGTCAGCCACGAGCCTCACTCTGTGGCTAACCCTCTCACCCGCATCAGGCGTCCTATTCCTCACGAGGTCGACTCGACCCAGCTGCCATTGCGCGTCCAGGCCTCCGCTCAGTAGCTTGGCTTGGCCACAATGGCCAAATCCACGCGTTTTCCAGGCCCAAACGAGCCTCTGCACATCTTCCAGGACGACACGTTCGAGAGACCAGTCCCCATGACGAGCCACGCGCCCATGCCCGCAGTCACCAAGCCGGCGCGACGCCCGCTCAGCAGCTCCGGCTCAAACGTCGTTCTCAACCCGCCAGCCGGCTCCAACGCGAGCTACTCCCCGCACAAGACCAAGTCTTCGAGCCCCCGCTCGCCTCTGAAATCATCGTCGCAAGGCAACAAGCTCAACATGGTGTCAATGGCACCACCCATGGGCAAGGGCCCCACAACAGACTGCCTCCAGAAGAAGCCTCACATGTCCAACTTCAAGACGGGCCCTCACCGCCCTCACATTGAGCCCAACTACAACTACGGCAAGGAAAATATCCATCCGCAGATTTTTCCGGCTCCCCCGACCATCAATTTGTCCGTCGAGTCGTACTACCAAAAGCCCAACGGCAAGCGTGGCCTGATGGACGCCGCGCCGATCAAGGACGCAAGACCTACTAAGAAATCAAGGCCGGACGAGCACATCCTGCCACCGCACGACTCGTTCCCTCCGATTCACGACGACGGCGCGAAGCCACCTCACAGCTACGCGCAGCTCATCGGCATGGCAATCCTGCGCTCGCCCATGCGCCGCCTTACCCTGGCCCAAATCTACAAGTGGATCAGCGACAACTACTCCTTCTACAACCCCAACGACGCCGGCTGGCAAAACAGCATCCGCCACAACCTGAGTCTCCACAAGAACTTCATCAAGATTGAGCGGCCCAAGGACGATCCTGGCAAGGGCAACTACTGGGGCATCGAGCCAGGCACCGAGTTCCAGTTCCTCAAGGAGAAGCCCCCGCGAAAGGCCGCGCCCACCGCTGAGAATCTTCCGGTCATGTCCACGCGTATGGAGCCATCGCGACCCGCAACGGCCCCGGCCCCGGCTCCTGCTCCCGTCCTCCCTCCGGAGCCCACGTTGCCGCCACCGGCTCCCATGCACCAGACAAGCCTCCCACCTCTGCCCACGTCCCAGGCGACCTTGTCGATGCCCGCGGAGCTCTCATCTGATGCTACTATTCCCATTTCCGACAATGCTGCCCCGGAGGAGTCGGGCGATAAGGTGCAGGAGAATGACCTTCCAGTCGAATCGTCTCTGTACTCGCCCCTGCCCGCGAACATGCACTCTTCGCCACCTGTGCCCAGACACGTGGAGCGTCGCAGTGGCACACCTCCGTCGGCTGCTCGCAATCCCACGTCATCCGCATCCAGGTCTCACAAGCGCAGGTTCGCCTCGATGGATGATAGCGGCTACATCTCGTCCCTGGAGTCTTCGGTCATGCGGCCGAACCAGAAGGCCATGCTACTCACCTCGGAGGCTGACCGGCCCCGGATCAAGCGTGGCCGCGCCGAAGAGGAAATTGCGCGTCTGCGCGGCTCCTCGCCTTTCAGCCCGACCAAGTCCCGGTCGCTTGCCTATGGGCCAATCTCCTCGTCACCCCTGCGACAGGCCGGCGAGAACCAGATGCTTCCGCCCCTGACTCCTGTCGTCAAGATGAAGCCTCCCATGCGACCTCCCCCTTCGGCATCGCCAAACACGAGTCTCCGCATCCATCGCGACAAGGTCCGCCATATGCTGCAGTCCCCCCTCCGCCGTGTGACCGGATCTGGCGAGGAATGCATGCCCTGGAGCCCCGCCTTCAACCTGGACGAAACTCTGTACAACTTTGATGACTTCACGAATAACGGAACCGATTTCGACATTTTCCAGGACATGACGACCTTGGACGATGGTCTGTTCCCGACCATGAGCTCTGTCGATACGGGATCGCCCATCAAGCGCTCTGCCAAGCGTGCTCGCCTCGATCGGTCGGTATCGACCTCTGCGCTTGGTGACATTACGAACTCGTCCAAGAAGAAGTCCATAACATCAGTCCCGCTGTTGAAGGTCCCCGAGCAGTCGCCTTCGCACTTCTTCGAGACGCCCAGCAAAGTTTTCGAGGGCCTTGGCTCCCCCTCGAAGCTCTTCCAGGACTCGCCGCTCCGAAACGCGTCCCCCAGCAAGTACGCTGCATTGGATCTGGCTGCCGACGCAGACTGGCCCGGCCTGATCTTCGACTCCGGCGAGCTGATGTCCCACTCGGAGACTGTCCCTTCCGACTTTGCCGGGCTTGATATTCTGCAGGGCTTCGAAAAGATTGGCGCAGGCGGCCCGAATTCGAAGCAGGCCAAGGTCCCCAAGCCAAACCTGGCCCGGAGTTTCTCTACCAGATTCTAGAGGGGGACGGCCTTGAATTTCGGGAGGAACATCGCAGGCGAGCGAGCATTGATTACGACATAATGATATGATGAGGACGCGCAAACGGTGACGGCCACGCGTCCTGGCGGCGAACAAGCACACCATGTTACTCGGCGGATTAGAGAGGCAACAAAGGTACCTCGGCGCGCGCGGGCTGGGATCTCACCCATTTTAGCTTCACGGCTGGATCGCGACGGTAATGAGTATACGTAAGTACATAGATGCGCGCCCAAGGGCTGGGCGGCACGGCACGCACACTGGGAAAGGGACAGGCAAGGGTAGCGACTTCGGGGCGCACCTGGAACGGATCAATCACTGTGTTTTTTTGGGCTGGAGCTCGTGCTTTTCTGTCTTGGTCTGGTCCTCACGCTTGTACGACGGGCGTCTGGTTATGACGGGTAAGGGACGGCAAAGGCTTGTTTGGGTATTGGTCGAGTTTTGATGTTTGGATCACGCACGCACGCACGCATTCATGGGTTTTTTTCGGACCGGCTTTATTAGAGGGAGCGGCTGGGATCAGCGTTCAGGGTCAGAGCGTTCAGGATCGCGGGCTCAGATTGATTTTGCAAAACGGGTGCGGACGCGGCGACTTTTTGAGCGCCTCTGAATTTGAACTATCCTGCCATCACATCAAGCTACGATAATTGCTCTTCGTGACCTTGGTTGATGGCCTACGTTATGTCACCGGCCCGTAGCCTCCCAAATTGCCGGTGTATGCATATTCCCCCAGCTGCTGGTACGGTCATCACCAGGTGTATATTTGTACGAACGCGAACTCGGGTATCTAATTACAACACGGAGCATGCCTCCAGATAAGCCCCCAAACGCCATATCCCTAAACAAGCGTCGTCCACCTATGTGTCGTGTGTCATGCAAAAAGACGCCGCAAAATGCCTCCTCCTCTGATCGTGACGTGTCATGTTAGTAGATGCGCATGCGGGCGGCCCAGCCCGTCTCCTTTTGCTGGTCGACGGTGATCTTGAAGGGGAACGGGTTGCCGCCCTGCGAGGTTATCGGGGGGATGTGGTCCTTGTGCGAGTTGGCAAACGTAACGATCTTCATGGCCGTGGTGAAGAGCGTCTGCTCCATGGCGCGGCGGACCTTGGCGCGTTCTGCGAAAGGGAGCACTGCGTAAGCTTGACGATGCCCTGAATGTCACTTGGGGGAGGGGGAGGGGTGGGATGAGAGTGGACGAGGACGGGGGAACGTACCGCTCTCTGTGCGCGGCTCGGCGACGGTGACTTTGACGGTCCAGCACTCCCAGCAGACCTCTTCGTCTCCGCGCGAGAGCCAGGCCTTTCGGCGCTTCTTCTCGAAGAACTGGACCGTGACCTGGCCCCTGCCTCCGCCGCCGCCGGTGGTGCCGGCGCTGCCGCTTGTGCTCCCGCTGCTGTGGTTGTGGTTGTGGTTGTGATTGTGATTGTGGCTGTGGGTGTTGCTATTGCGCTGGGCGTCGAGCTGGCGCTCAAGGGCGGCGGCGCGCTGGTCGATCATAGTCTCGAGCTCGTCATCGTCGACGTAGGGGAGGGTGAGGTCGAGGACTTCGCGCGTGCGGGGAGCGAGGGAGGGGAAGAAGCGCGTGAAGAAGATGGTATGCAGGATGCCTACAGCAGACGCGACACCAGGTGTTAGCAAGCAGACACACACGTACAGACACACGGACACGATGTTTCGATTGCCGAGGGATTTTCCAGTGCGCATGGAGCGTAGAACGAATGCGATGCTCAGAGACGTCGCGGCAAGTCGCCAACGCGGCGAACATGCCGATGGCGGGGGCGGGGATGAGTTGGAGGGGAGGTTTGGTTGGTGGGCAGGCGTCGATGCCATGGAGGAGAAGAGGCAGGGCATACCTTTGACGACGTCTCGGACAGATCGCGGGTCGGCAAAGACGTCGAGAATGAACTCGGGAGGATCCTGCGGCGGCTGCGGTTGCGGCGGCGGCTGCTGCTGCTGCAGGTGCGGCTGGGCTTGAGGGTCCATTGCGGCGACGGTCGTCGCTGCCGACATGGATACTCTCGAGCAGGACGGGTGGTGAGCGAGGGCCGCGGAATTGCGGTTGGAGGTTTGGCCCGCAAGGGGCGGGCGAAGCGAGCGGAGCAAAGCGCGAGTACGTCAGTCGGTGCCTCCTGTTCTGCAGTGGTTGAGGGAGCGGTAGGTAAAGGTCAGTGAGTAAGGTAAGGTAAGAGGAGCAGATAAGCTGCGGCAGCGGGGGCGGGTGGTGGATGTGCCGGGAGGCGGGGCGACAAGCCGGAGGATCCAAGGAAGGAGACGACGTATTGGACTCTTTTCGCGCTCAGCCTGGCAGCTCGATGGATGGTTGATTAGGTGAGCGCAGAGGTCGGTGGTCAGCTGGTATCCGACGTCAGAGAGTGGTACTAGTAACTGCTGCTGAGGAGAGGAAAAGGTGGGATGAAGGGTTGGAGGGAGGGCGGCTGCGGGCGCGCGCGCGCGTGGCTCCCTGCACCGGCGGGCAGTCTTTGTGGCGGATGGAGGGGGGGCGGCGCCGTCGGGATCCATTGATGCGAGGGGAGCTGGAGGGGCTGCGCGCGGGCTGCTGCTGCCGGTGCTGCAGCTGGTGGGTGATCCCAAAGCCCAGGGCCGCTCGACTGGACGGGATCTACCTGGGAGAGGTGGATTGTGGAAGCCGCATCATGGCATTTTCGCTGCGGCGCCGGAGCCAATCCCCCAGTGCCTGGGCAGCTGCCACCTCATGTTGGATTGGACGAATATTGCGGACTCGTCTGGGGACGGATTGGATTGCCCGGGGTGGTGGATCGTGAGGACGTAAGAAGCGTCACTGTGCTTGGCTCCCCCAGGGAGGGGAGGACTTTGGGCAGCCATCCAGCACCACTAACATGGAAGGCAAGCCCGGGCGGTGCTTAATTGGCTCTGGCGGCATCAGCACCGGGAACGGCAGCAGCTGCCCAGGACCAGGCGACAACGATAGCCTCCGGCGGAGACCCGATGAACCCGCTTCCCCAGCTGGAGCCGGCCGGTGTCCTCCTCCCCTCCTCACTGGGTCACTCGCGCCGCTAGCAATGGGAAGCTGCTGGGGCCACAGGGCAGGCAACGGAAGGCAGGGCAGCGTTTGGCAGGCCATGGCGGTGCAAGGTACCCCGACCAGCGAAACCCGCCGGCGTCGGTACCTGCCTGTGGCATGTGAGGCACCAGACGGGACCGTCCAACCAGTCGAGCCACAGGCTGGGACCCGGCGCGCTCCACCGCTCAGAGTGGCGTTCGGGAACCGAGGCTTCGGCTCGCAGGACCCCCAGGGAGCTCTGTTACTGTACGAGTGCGTGCCGCTGCTGCTGCCGCTACATGCATGTTGAGGGTGCCCTGACAGACGGCCGGCCACGAAACGGTCGTCACCATCATCATCACCACCACCACGCCACCGGCACCACCACCACTGCCACCACCACACCCATCGCTGCGACCCGACGGAAGTGCTGGGACGGCCCCAACGTGTACTCGATCCCGTCGTCCCGAGGTCCATGCATTCGGCATTGCCTGGACTCCTTCCCGCACACACGCACGCGCACGCCCTCCCGCCCCAACCCCATGGCAGCTACCCGACGACACCGCACGAGCTCCCATTGATGACTTGACGATAACGAGGAGAGCTCCAGCCGTACTTTCATCTCCCACCCCCCGCCTCCGCCGACCGCAGCCATGTTCTCCTCGGTGCGGCGCTGGCTGCGCAACAACAGGACCCCAATTGCCGTCGGCGTTGGCGTCGTCGGCGCCGGCTACGTCGTCACCCAATATGTCCTGTCCAAGCTCAACGACGCGCGCGAGCGCATGAGCAGCGAGCGCATCGCCAAGGAAAAGTCAGTGCACCTCGTGTCCTGACCCTCGACCCTGCGAACCCTCCTACCCCGTGTGCCGACAGTAGGATGCTAACGGAAACCTTTCTGCAGCCTGCGCCGGCGCTTCGAGCAGAACCAAGAGGACTGCACCTTTACCGTGCTGGCCCTCCTCCCGACAGCGACGACGAATGTCCTTGCCGCGCTCAACACCGAGCAAATCACATACGAGATCCAGCAGATCAAAGGGGTCACCAAGGGCATCAAGGCGGGGAGCACCGAGTCGACCGCCAGCCCGCCCAGCATCGCGGATACGACCATGACGGAGGAGGACGGCAAGAGCATGGCCAGCTTGCAGAGCGAGAGCGGCGTCCACGCCAGCCAGGTCGTCGCGCCGTCGCCATTTGCGGCGTCGGGAGACGCAGGCCAGCAAGACGGCGGCGCGCAAAGGTCACGCAAGACCAAGAGGCAGCTCTGGGATGACCTGACCATCAGCGGTACGTCGGCGTGCCCCGGCCCATGCCATTTCCCTGACGCTGACCATGCGGGATTCCAGCCGTCACAAGAGCCTTTACCCTCATTTACACCCTCGCCCTCTTGACCATGTTCACCCGTATCCAGCTCAACCTGCTTGGCCGACGCAGCTACCTATCCAGCGTCGTGGCTCTCGCCACCGGCGCGCAGCAGGCGACCATCAGCCTCGAGAACAATGACGATGACAACACGGAGCAGGACTACGGCAGCGACTTTGACACGAACCGCAAGTACCTGACCTTTAGCTGGTGGCTGCTGAACAAGGGCTGGGTCGACGTCATGCACCGAGTTGAGAGTGCCGTGCGCACCGTCTTTGGGAGCCTCAGCCCAAGGGACCTGGTGAGCTTTGAACGCTTCGGCGAGCTCACCATGGAGGTGAGGAAGCTCGTTGAGGGTGCCACACCCGAGGAGCGCCGGAGATCAGACTGGCTCAAGTTCCTGCTCCCTCCTCAAGAACAGGAGGACGAGGTTATCCGAGAGTCGGGTATCCTCGAGGACAACGCGATGCAGGTGGGCAGCAGCTCGGAGCCCGCGCTGAGGCGACTGCTCGACGAGACGGCGGACCTGATAGAGTCGCCCTCCTTTTCGCACGTCCTGACCCTCATCCTCGACGCCGGCTTCTCGGCGCTCGTCGACAAGAAGCTTGCCGTCGAGGCGTTCGAGCTCCCCCAGCAGGACGCCGGTCTGCTGTCCGCTATGTCGGACCAGCGGCGCACCAAGCACATCCTGCTGCCCAAGATCCTGTCGGTCCTGACGCGCCAGGCGCACGCCATCGGCAATGGCATGCCCAACCAGTACCTCGAGGAGATGGAGACGGTGCGCGCCCTCGAAGCCTTTGCAGCCGTCGTCTACTCGAGCAACTGGGAGAACGAGATCCGCGACGAGGGGCTCATGGACAGCGCCGTGCACGTGAGCAAGGAGGACCTGGCAAGGAGCCAGATGCCCGTCGCCGGCGAGCAGAGCATCGTCATGGTGGACGAGTCGGGCAGCTTGGAGAGCGCGTGGGAGAGGGCTGTGGAGCAGAAGCAATGACGGCCCGTGGATCGCAACCATTGGATCACATGTACTAAATAGCTGCTGTTTTCATATATCCGGGAGATACAGGGTGTATTCCGGCGCCGGAAGGGGGCACACGGCCCAGGCTCATTGTGGCTGATATACAGGCAGGTTGGCTGGGAAGCTATCTATCATACATTGCAGTTATGCCTATGCACTTTGTCGTCTCAAAGGCCCGTGGTGCCTTTTCAGAGTGGCAAGCAGTACACGCATAACGTAGGGCGACATCACGTCGTTCGCCTGGCCTTTTGGGGTGCTTGCCTTTGCTCGTTCGTAGCCGCGCGTAGATGTGGTCCTCTGCATGTCGCATCTGCGACCGCACAGGACGCGCTTTGCGGTCGAAACCTCGGCAGCTCCCTTTCGTACCCTTCATAAGATCGTACAGCTTCCGTTTGGAGGCCGGTCATTGACCATGGCCGTAAGATCCGGAAGCGACGCTGTTCGACGCAGCGCTATCAGAGGGTGTCCTCAGAGAGGCAAAGCCTCCTCCCCCGCGGGCGATCACATCAGCCCTCGGATGAATTGGTCCACGCCCAGCTCGAACAGCTCGTTCTTGACGCCGGCGCCACCCTTGTGCTCTACCGGCGCGAGCGGGTTCTTGACAACTGCATCGGATTCTGTCAGCATGCCCGCGGTACCAAAACGCTGACGTCGGCCTCGAGAGAGAGGAATCCAACGCGACAGCCAGCAGCAGCAGCAGCAACAGTAGTGCACGCACCGTATTCGACCCAGAGGTTAATGTAAATCTGATGCAGCACGTTGCGCATGCTCGCGCTGCCCGTGTCGGTGAGCAGCACGAAGCGCAGGTTGGCGGGCGTCTCGTAAAAGTGCAGCTTGTACTGCCCCGTGCGGTAGCTGATGAAGGCGTCGTCGTCGCCGCCGAGCTTGCGCACCATATTGCGCAGGGAGAAGACGGTGCCGAAGACGAGCTTGGCGTCGTCCGAGGACGCCGAGACGGCTGACGGCTGCTGCGTCGGCGCTGCTGCTGCTGTTGAGGCGGAGGCGGCGGCGGCGGCGGACGCGGACGAGGCGGAGGTCGGGCGGGCGGGTTGCGGCGGGGGGAGCCATGACTTGGCGTAGATGCACTCGGCTGAGGTGACGGGGGGGATTGCGCGTCAGCTCTCCGCTCGCGGATTGGTATGCGCGGTCGAGTAGGGGGGCAAGGGAGGCAGGAGGGGTTGCTCACTGTGCCGGTCAAAGATGTAGAAGGAGTAGACGACCATGGTGGGCGAGGCGAGGAGGCGGCGGCGTCGCCGCGACTGACGATAGGGGCGGACGGCAGTCAGCTACTCGGGCAGGCGACTGGACGGGGCCCGCCGTCCTGTCTCCGTTTGAGGAATAAGAGGGCGATAGAGTGGCGGTATGGGTGCGCCCTGAGGGAGTCGGCGCGGTCCCGTCGTCGTCGTCGTCGTCGCCACGGCGTGGTGTCGATGGTGCGGTGGTGTGGTGGTGTCGAGTCGACGTTGAATTGTCCTCCCGAGGTGTGGCTGATGCAGTTGCGGCTTGCGGGTTTCCGGGGCGCGTCCCGCCCAGCCTGCTGTAGCTCTCGGGCGGCGCAGTGGCTTGACGCGCCCTGAATTGGGGCTTGGGGGGGCCATGAGGGGATCGCACGGGGCTGGAGCTTCGCCCGACGGGGCGCGGGAGCAGAGGAGCTGGAGGCTCAACTCGGAGCTTAGGTGCCCGCCCCCCACCAGGATCCATCCGCCCGCCCCTCCCAAAATCCCATCTTCTGACATCCAGCTCGGGAGCTGCTTCGTCTCAGCCCAAGCCCTTTTCCTCAACCCCCTTCGCAGCACGAGCCCGCGTCGCATCTCATCTCGGAACGGGCCAATTTCTACCGCGAACTGGGGAGGGTACACGTCGCAAGTCCTCGCTCTCTCCCTCCGTCACTTCTCTCGACTCTTTCTACCACACCACTCGTGGTTCAGCGACGTTGCGCCAACCCGTTCGACCTGCAGCTCACTCGTGCGCTTTGAGAGCTTGCCTCGTATTTCTTGAAACCATATAGCACAGGGCTGGCACATACGCCGATCTCAACTAGTCTTGCATACGCTTTGCGCCTGCCAAGAGCGGGGCGGTGGAAGCGTCCTATACGGCAATCTCCTGGTCATTCTCAGACGTCCATCACAGCTCACGAGAGCGATTCCCGCCTTTACCAGCACAGTCTTCGAGTCATAGGTGCGCACTCAAGTCATCACCGTCAGCGGTCAAAGACGCCCCGTTATGGACACGTCACAAGCCATGCCAGGCCCCAAGTCGGCTAGGCCGGAGACGCCTGCCTCGCCCAAAGTCACCGTCGATCATGCAGAAGAGAGCGGCTCGACAACGTCTCTCCCCACCAGTTTGTAAGTCAGAAGCGCGTCCGAAGGCCATTCAAGCTGACCTCTGGCGGCGCTCCGCCCCATCAGGTCTGAGCCTGAGCGTCCGGCTCTGCGAGGCTTTGCCAGTCCTCTACGTCATCACAAGCGGACTCCCAGCGCTCACCGCGAAATCAAGGTTAGTTGCGCCATACACCATGGGTGTCCCAAGGCAGCATTTTCGCTTAACTTATGCCCAAATAGGAGACGCTAGATGCTCGCGTCGAGTTCACTAGCGACGAGTCCGATGGAAGGACGTACCATAGGATCAATCAGTATGTCATCATGGAAGAGATTGGACGAGGCTCGTACGGCGCGGTACACCTCGCAACGGATCATCTTGGCAACGAGTTTGTGAGTGTTATTTGTCTTTCCATGCTTTTCCAACGCCCGGTATCTTACAGCGACCTGGCAGGCCGTCAAAGAGTTCTCCAAAACCCGTTTGAGAAGACGTGCACAGTCCCATCTCTTGCGACAAGGCCCATACGGAACCCCCCGAGATCGTCTCTCTTTCGGAGGTGGTCGTCCTGGGACACCCCAGCTGAGTGGCTTGCGTGCTAGCGAGAGCAAAGATGCGCTGTTTTTGATCCGAGAAGAAATCGCCATCATGAAGAAACTGGATCATCCCAACCTGGTTCAGCTCATAGAGGTGCTCGACGATCCAGAAGAGGACTCGCTCTACATGGTCCTCGAGATGTGCAAGAAGGGCGTCGTCATGAAGGTTGGCCTGGACGAGGATGCCGATCCCTACAGCAGCGAGAGTTGCCGCTACTGGTTCCGCGATCTCATACTGGGCATTGAGTACCTCCACGCCCAGGGCGTCATCCATCGCGACATCAAACCTGACAATCTACTCTTGTCGAGCGATGAGGTCCTCAAGGTGGTCGACTTCGGCGTGTCGGAGATGTTTGAGAAGCCGGAAGACATGAAGACAGCCAAGTCGGCGGGCTCTCCCGCCTTTCTACCCCCTGAGCTGTGCGGCAAACACAAGGAAGTTTCCGGCAAGGCTGCTGACATTTGGTCAATGGGCGTTTCGCTCTACTGTCTCAAGTACGGCAGAATACCGTTCAACAGGCCAGGTGTGCTGGAGATTTACGAAGCAATCAAGGAGGAGGACCCCCGTATACCTGAGGACGAGGATCCCGTCTTTGTTGATCTACTTCACAGGATCTTGGAGAAAGACCCTGAGAAGCGCATTACGATGGCGGAACTTCGGGTAAGCATTCTGGAGGGAGAAGCTCTTGCGCCAAGCGAACGATACTGACTGGCTTTTCTAGGAGCATGCCTGGGTGACGAAAGACGGCAGCGACCTCCTATTGTCCGCCGAGGAGAACTGCGCGCACCTCGTCGAGGCTCCAAACGAGCTGGAGATAAACCGAGCGTTCACCCGCAAGATGAACCATCTCCTGTCCGTCATGAAGGCTATCCATCGTTTCAGGTCATTGCTTATCGACATTCGCTCACGGTCAGGGGCACTGCCAGGGCCTTCCACCTCGTCGCCAGGACCTGGCACCTCCCCTCTTGTGGCTGGACCAGCCGAGCAGCGAGCAGAAGCAGAGGAAATCGAAGCGCTCATTCAACAGCGCCGCGATCTGCTCAGCCAAGAGGATGACGAGGCCGACAAGGGCCATGCTCGCGACGTCGCCGATCAAGAACCCCTGTTTCTGGGTATCGGCACCGGAGCCAGGGATGCCTTTGCCATGGATGAAGCCACACCGGATGTGGTTGCCGATTCCCCCACCGCAGTCGACTTTAACGTCTATGACCGTGCCTACGAGGAGGCAGTAGAGAAGCAAATGAAGGCGAACAAGGCCGGCAAGCCAACCCTCTACCTGACCAAGTTCGTGAAGGAGACGGAGCAGTTCAAGAAACTGGAAAATCTTGTCGAGGGCACAGTACTGTCGCCACCTGTGCTCAAGGCCGAGGTCAGGGAATCCAAAGAGCACCTGCAACGCCACATCGCGAACGCGCCGAGCGGCAAACTGGCACAGCTCGTCTCCAAAATTGGCATCTCAGACACGCAGGCGCCTAAGACACGGCCGCCGGAGTGAACACAGCCCGCCGGCCAGTGGTTGGACAGCACGGCAAGTTGCGGCTCGCGTTGCGATTCTGTTCCAGATATCACGGTCTAGAACACGGGAATTCTTTCTTCGACGATTCGACGCCAAAGTTGGTCTTGGCGACGCACATGGTATCAAAACCATGCATATGCCGGCAGCCACCGAGTGTCTTTCCCTCCCGGCGCCAAGGTCCCGGGGCAATAGCGCAGGCGAGACAGTTGATTTGTTCGGCCGCTCACCGCTGCCATTTCGCGTGCTTGGCGACCGCCGGTGATTCCCAGCCTCGCCTAGTATTGGGTCTTATTACGGTCGACCGCCCCGCCCAGTTGCCGATGCTGGCCTGAGCTTGACACAGCGAAACAGCGATGCCGGGTTGTGCCGATAACCTGTCACGACAACCTTCCGATGCGACAGACAAGTTTCCAAGATTCCTTCTTGCAAGTGCTGATGGCCGCTGGAGGTATGTCGATTCGACTATGGGGGACAGGGGTTGACCCGGAGGGCCAACATACATCGCCACTGCCAACCCAGCTGAGACCGCCCTGAGCCGAGTCAAGCGTCTGAAAAATCTCGCTCGGTCTCTCACGCTGGCCCGCAGCGGCTGGTCAGTGCCGGCGCCGCGTGGAGGCTGGCTATGCGATAAAAACACGCGCGACGTTGCGATGATGATGCGGAACGGACGACGATTTGCCACTGCCGTGTCACGGGGGGCTTGTGACCCAGAGCTTCTGCCCGTGACGAGGGTAAATCCGATGATGCCAAGGCGATGATCCAATTCCTGTGTGGTTGTGAAGAGTGAGTTGGCAAGGCTCACTGTCACGGCGAGATGGGGGGTTCGGCTCCCGCGGCTTGGCGTGCGTATGCAACCATGACCGGACAGGCGGCCAGCCCGTCCTGTTTCCAATATCGGACTTTGCACGCTGACGGCGGCATTGAAGGCCCTCGGGAGCCACTTATGGTTGGCGTACAGCGCACGGGGCACAGGGAGCTTCTACGCGGTCGCGGCGAGACTGGATGCTCCCGGAGCGAACAGGACAACGACTCAAAGTGGTGTGGGGGAGGGCATGGACTGTCGACAGGACGGGGTCCATTGGGCAACATGTCGTCCATTGCTTGGCTGCTGCCCGAGCTGGACCTTGAGACGAGGCTTGAAATTGTCTCGAGGGAAACGCGGCGCAGATGTCGGGACTCGGTGATGCCGCATCTCTTGGGTATGTCACCTGAGGTCTCGGTGGCCACAGGGTTCTCCGTGCCAAGGGCGCGTCGCGCGAGGCGTCTGATGTGGAGAGGCCGCGGGAGACGGGCCGTCGCGTCAGGTGCATACATGTCATGTACAAGTTCTGGCTGGATGAGCCTGTTCTGGAACTGTCGCAACGATCCACAAGTCTACATGCCTTGGCCAGGCTAGCACATGTCTGGCCACAGATCACTATTCTGTCTCTATGGCTTGCGATGCTGTCGCAAAAAGCACGAGTGTTCGGAGCAGTATCGGCTTGCAACCACATAGAGTAGCAGCGCAAGTGCCAGACAAGGCGAGCATGTTCTTGACGCCGCAGGGTGGCATGTCGACTCTGGGGTCAGGACTCAGGACACTGTCACCCCGACTGCAGGGAGGTGCCTGGCCGGGCTTGGGGCGAGGCAGGGGGGGGACGACGGGTCGAGTCGGTCAAGGTGGCACAAGGTGTCTCGTCATTGATGATGTCGGCGAGGCCGTTCGGGCCTATGGGGAAGAAACGTCACTTGGCCCGTCATAATCGAGACGAGCAGCAGGCTACGTGTAATGTATTACCAAGCACACACAGGCACAGGCACACGAGAAGGTGCTAGTCAGTACTGTACAGTACAGTTCACACGCAGCAGATGAGGAGAGCAGTAAAAGAAATGCCTCATTCGAGGGGTAATGGCGGTTCGGGAACTGGGGGGAGGGGAGGGACGTTTGTTTGTACTTGTATATGTAAGAGCGGGCGCTCATACAAAGAGTACCGCAGGCCAGCTCGGGCCAGGCCAGCACACACGTCAAGAGGTGCCTGACTGATTGACTGACGGATTGAGTGACCTAGTGAGTGAGTGAGTGGCGGACTGACTGACTGACTGACTGAATGGGTGCCACTGCGGGCGCCTCATGATCGACCTGCATCTACCTGCACCTGCGCCTGCACCTGCACCTGCTGCTGCGCTCCTGCAGCTGGACCTCGGGACATGCCCGGGCTGGGCTGGGCTTTTGGG